TTTGAAGGGCGTTTGCTTTCCGCTGGAAGGTTGCGAGTGGTAGAGAGGACGAAGTGAAAGAGAGGTGAGTCATGGTGAGTGCGCGAAAGGCAAGAAACAGAGTGACCTCAGCGTGCAATGCGAGGGAAGGCGTGACCTACTTGGTACCACCCCAACACATGCGGCGAGGAGAGTGCGGTGCGGCCCGTTGGTACGGAGACACGGACGCACAGCGTTACACAGTCTAGTCAAAGAGCTGCTTCGCATCTGAAACCTTTAATGTGCAAAGACGACGGGGACAAAGCAAGGGAATGATCTGATGGACAAGGGTGCCAACTTCTCGCTGTTTTTTTTTTTTTTGAGAAGCCAGCTAATTATATAGTCTGTCAAACGAGGTAATCTCACAGCAGCAAGAGACACATGGCAAAGCAAGTATATCGACTTGAGGCACTCAGATGGAGTCGGCACATGCATCGGAATGTGCTTTGAACCAAGTTGTAAAAGCATGCCAGCGCACTTGTACACGTACCAGCCCCATGTACGAATGGGCAGCGCATAGTCTAAACTAAACGTCAGCCGGCTATCTTTCGATAATACCATTTACCTCTCGCTCATACCTACTAAAGGGGTACTAACGCATAGGCTACCTGCCCTTTCTGTCAGGCACTGCGCCGTGCTCCCGACCGGGTTGCAGAAATTGGGTGCCTTTTCTCATCTTCTAACAACTACTACCACCACCACCCTTTTCGCCGCGAAGTATATGTTTTTTTTATTAAAGGCGAAGCATTTCTTAGCAAACTTTGGCGACTCTCACAATATATATCTGTCTAACTACCTACGATATTTATCTCTTCGGGCCATTTGTATGTTGGTATCTATGCCAAAATTGGTATGACATAACTTTTTTTCCTTCACAGATAAATTTTCCATCGCAGACATAACTTGAGTCTATGACGAGCATAATTGACAAGTCATAACATGAAAATTCTGATATGTATGTCATGAACGTCATGATCTTGATATGTGTGTCATGAATGTCAGGAGAGGGGTTGGTTGCTTGAAGTAACACCAGAGGGGGGTCCTGACTTTTTTGTTCAAAGGAGCACGTAAACACTGTTATAGCGTATAACTGTCTTACCCAAATTGCTCTAATTGGTTGTAGGAGGTGGATGACAAGCAATAGGGGCGAGGGTGCTGACAGAAGCTTTGAGCAGGAGGCAGTAGGGGCGCTTCCCCCTCTCCGCCTCAACAAAGGCGTTGAGGGGAGAAAGCACCTCTACCACTCCCCCCCCCCCCCCCCCCACTCCTTCCTCTGGAGCCACCACTGTACCCAATCCTTATTCCCAGCCACTTAACCCACGCTCTTGTAACCGATCGTTTGATTAAAGGGCACTTCTTCGGAACAACGACGTTGGCATGTGTGCATTCTTTTATTGCGCAAGCGCTTGAATACGTGAGAGCAATAGCGCCATTAGTGGCATCTCTTTGAGAATTGTTCAACGATATAGTGGCATGTTGGAGCTGGCAGTGCAGGGCATATCAACCAAATGCGTAGAACAAAAAAAAAAACAGTTGTAGTTGAACACGCTGAAACTGCGTTGGTAAAGCGTTAGCCCAATTTCAGCTCCTTTGGTTAGGGGCGAGAAAGCTGGTTTTCAACGGTTTTACATTAAAGCGCATGTCTTGCTTCACTCGAAGACAACAAAGAGTTCACAAATTGTGTTGACGTGCCCCAACAAAACATTCAATCATTTGCGATATCATTATTTTACTGCAATAGATCGATAAACGAGGACAAAACAAAAATAAAGGTTTCTGTGCGTGCAGTATTGCGCTACAAGACAGCACACAGCCGCTGCTCGGGGCCCATTCGCAGTAAACTTGGATGCTGGTGAGGACGACACGACAGACTTACTTTCAGCCACTGTTAGTTTTTGAGAACGGACCACACCATTGCTTCAGTGAGGCTTGTTTGCCAGCCTTGATCTCGTTTGGGCTTAAAACAAAGATTTCCGCAATCACGCATTTGCCACGTTTTTACCTGCTGGAATAGGGCTCTCACTTTAAATGTCACTATAAAGAGGGCTTCTACTGGCAGACGCCTACAACTCATGCAGCTACAATTCGGGCTTGTTTTGCCAGCTTTGGCCTTGTATGAGCTGAAAGGTGTACTGACACAAAATTTCGCGGCCGAGATAACATGCGGAATCAATTCCCGCGAACATTCGTATATCATCTGCAAAATATTAACAGTGAATGTAGCTTAGAAAGTCTTTTAATTTTGAATTTCGCGTGAGCGATTGACTCCATCGCGCTATTGTCATACTCGGAGGGGACCCTCGGGGACCCGCTACATCTTTCACGTGACCACGCTGCAGCAAGTTATGATGACGTCCAAGCCACCATTTTCTGTAGTGGCATTTGCTCCGGCAGGCTATTACTTGGTAGCTGCTCGCGAATACGGCGCCGCGAAGCACGAGCTGAAGGTTTTGTGTTTGATGACAATGCTGTCCCGTTTACTGTTAAAAAAAACTTCTTCGTGTGATCTAAGTGGAAGTGTGTCGCAGTTCCTTGTTCTCATACGGTAGAGCATTGGACCCGTTAGATTGTGATAGTCGCATCTGGTTTCTTAAAGTTTTTGAAACTTAAACTGACACTGGATGGTAATAACGACATAAAAATAAGTGTTTGCCGCACGTTGCAGCAAACGATGTGTCGTATATATGACTAACAGGCTTCCAGGAACACGTTGCAGCACAGAAAAAAAAGCGATGTCAAAACTTTTGTGGCAGTACCCATTTAAAGGCAAATTTACGGAATGAGACATTTTTCAGTAGCATAGCTACCACGCTAAATGTCACTATAAGCTTATGACTTCCATTGGCAGATGCCTACAAGTCATGCTCCTGCCATGTGAAATACGTTCACTGTAATTTCTATTTTGTGCATCACGGCAATACTGCTTCAGTGTGTCGCATTTCCCGTGTTCCAAGAAAAGTCATGGTCAACAAACAAGCAACACCTTTCCAACACCGTGCATATAAAAAACGTTTGAAAACAGAAAATGCTTTATTCAGAAAATGCGCGCTTGATATGCTCACACCCATTTCACCGAATCATATTGCACGGCACCTTGGAACAAAATATGTGCCGGAGGCAATGACGTTCAGAAGCTACAGAAATAATGCTCATTATAGAAAAACAACCAGCACAAATATTATCATAGACACTGTGCATTTGAACACATAGTTTTGGTAAACACTTTGTGTCACCACCTTATACGCAGATGGTGGTTTCAAAGAGCGCTCACAAGAAACAAATAAAAGTAATTATGAAATATTAAAATAGTAACTAATATAAAAAAGGTTGCTACGATCATCATCACGGTTCTGCAACGTAGCGCATCAAGCTTGAGATGTTTATTTCCAGAAGATGCATGAAGAAGAAGGCTCACAGTTAAGAACTTTTAACACGCTTATTCTACTACACGACAGGTTTTCTTACCTACGGTTAACAATTTTATACCAAGCAGTCAACCATTTCTTTGAGAGTGTCTCTGTGGTGTCGGTCGTGCTGTATCACTATGAAACTTCGATGTGCTCAAGCATCACAGCGTCGCAACGTCAAGCCACTTTGCTTTTCCGGTCACGCAATGCTCCCATATTGAGAAACATACAGCAATCACACTTTCATAATGAAATAGTACTAAAACACAACGCAAAGACATTCCGGAGGTATCACATCTCCTTAAGCTTATTTCAGTGCTCTGGTAAGGTAATCAGCATCCTTGCGCAAGACATCGCTCTTGCTTTCCACACGTTTGCATTCGAAGTGTCCCACGTTTTCTACGCTAGATAACTGTCAACTGGAACCAAAATATTGTGCATACACTTCACGTTGTTTACTTAGGACGACCCTGTTTTCATGAAGAATCCATTTTCCATTAGGCGGAGCTTATCTGCGATCAACTTGCAGCGTGTTGTTCTGCATTGAATAACAGCGTGGCGAGTTGCGATGTATAAATGAAGAAGTTAATGGACTTAAAATACACCTACCCTCAAGAGCACCAAAACAGTAACCGCAGTATCAAATTTCATTCAGGCATGTAAATTTTTGCTTCAGTTGTACTGCTAAGCATTCCAATTCAAATAGCTAGAAAAAGTTTAGTTTCAAAAGCACAGTCGGTTATTTCATTTTTGTACCACATCATCAAAGAAGAGTTTGCTTCGTAGCTGGTCTTTCATTGCAGAAGTCGCGTTCACGAATTACTTTCACTTGAGGGAATGCACGCGTTGCTAATACACACCAAACAGACAGTTCTGCTTAATATTTTGAGAACATAGTGTGAAAGTAATGTTCCTGTAAGTTTTGTTCCGTATCATTCCTTCTCGCCTCTGCTATCCGTTACCAAGCGTCCTTAGCTTGCCCACTGAGGCCAACAATGACAGAGCCCCTTGTTTTTCTTTTCACTCATTTTGTAAAGTTGAGTCTGTGAAACACAGCTGCACGGCTATTGGGAAAGCTGACGATCACGGTGTTATACTCGGTCTCATTCTAAACGAGCAGTTGTCAATGTGAAACATTGCTTACGTCACTCAGGATTCTGTCTCCGTGCGGTTTGTTTTCGAATAAAAAAAAAAGATTTCTTCAGGGCTTGCATTGACGGCAATAGTTGGTGCCCAAAACATAATTTATACATGTGATGCAAAAAGTAGGTGCTTGCCATGCACAAGTTAAACAGCTTATGCTGCTGCTTTTATGTGAGCTAAAGAAAATTTATCTCAAACGCGAACACAAAATAAATGCATGGAAGAACATGCGCGAACTACTGATACAGCTGAGTTTGTCGGCATGTCATCTGTACAGGTTTACCTGCTGCAAAAAGCATAAACTTCTGCCGTGTGCACCCAAAGCGACAATATTTACTGAGCGTAGGCGTGCAATATAACAAATTTAATTCCCTTGACTCTTTCAGTCCCCATTGAACCGAAATCATGCAATACGCCTAACAAAAGTTTATTCGGATAAACACTACTTTCATTTACACCATTCTTTGTCCATTCACTTATTGGCGCTCACAAAATATCACTCACACGATTCCTTTCGCCTCAGACATCATACAGACAAGCGAGCTACAACAGGTTACCTCGTAACGAATAACAAACAGCTCAACACTCACACTCGAAACACTAGCTCAACTTCTAGTATGAATACACGTGTTGCGCGACAGCAGGACATCGACGTACTGTCGAATAATTATCGGGTGTTTAGACGTCCAGAAGCCCCTTTCTTTCCGGTTAGCACTAGTACTTCATGATGAGGCTTCTCTTTCATCTCGACGTTAGCTTCTGAAGCATTTCAGCATCGCCCACTGCTGTGTTGGCTGGTCAAGTCGTTATCCCTACTTCGGCTGCGTTGAAAAACAAAAACAAATCGAAAGGTGAATGTAAAGCCATGGAACTCAATTCTAATTACATTCAGAACTACATGGGCCGTCGTATACGCTACAGTGTTTTGCCAGCTGCTCCCTAGAACTGCTGCCGAACTAGGCCGAAGCTAATTTAGGAATGGGAGACCACACATACTGCCGCTTTTGCGCTTTCGTTAGATGCTTGTAGTGTTTCCGCGGGTAAGCCTACGTACCTTAATGGTCCATCACTGAACGAATGAAACAGGTTAGCAATTGCAACGCCTGCACGAGGTTGTATTCTGTGACTTGGTAGCGAAGAAGTCGTGCAAGCCTTAGAATAGTGCAGTAGGTTTTGCTCAGTCGAGTGTTTTCATACAAGAACAACAAAACCAAACACATAGGTGTTGTTGTTCAGATTTCCTAAGCGTTAACTTCTGATACACGTGCACTTAACGTAAAGAAAACATCAACGTAGTAGTTCTAATATATGCACGTAGGTTTAAGTTGTGGACTGTAACGTTTAGTCCATCATATTTACACTGAAATATTTCTCACTCCAAGGATTGTTGTGCTCGGCACAAATATTGACATTTACGCTAACGACGCTTGACGGGCAATGGTGCATTCAATTCGCAGTTTTGGTATTTCGTTTTTTTTAATCTCACACTCAATGTAAAGTGTGAGATCTGCAAGTCTTAGAGAAAGCCTGTGATTAGCCTTAGGTTGCATAAAGCATTCCTGTATATTTGCCAGACGTCAGTCCGAGTGCGATCACCTTGCCTGTAAGAATTACAATTTCGTGCGTATAGGGTTGCATGCCGTACAATTTGGCAATCATTGGTCACATTCTTCTGGCAAAAGTGAATGAGTATCTGTCTTGTGTACTACCTCAATAATCGCACCATGGTTATTCGTAAGCGTGCTCTCAGTAAAAATGCACTGCGCTTTAATTTCAAATAAACCGTTGAACGAAGCGGGAGATACCCACAAGCGTTTGGAACAAATATGAAAGCACGAATTTGGGGGATAAAAGTAGAAGTACTATTGGCGTCAAATGAAACCTGAACAGCGGTAAGCCTTCGAAATAGAATACAGTGCATGCCCTCCACTTATCACCGTACACAGGCACACAGTTATGCGCTGAGATGCCGAACAGGATGCGCGTGGCTGTCAACAGTGATAACTGGACGGCACGCGCACTTTACTATCGCGTAGGCTTGGCGCTGTTCGGGTTTCTTTTGACGCCAATATATTACTTCATTGAGACGACGCAATTAGGTCGATTACCTGAATTTTATAAGAAGTACACAGTAACCTGTAACTACCAAGGTTCTTGCTTACAGGTTTGCAAGAATTGTTTTCTCACCTTACTTTAGGTCTTACTTTAGGTTTAGTATATTGGCCAAACGTGTTAAGTTAAACAGGCGTTCTAACGTGACCGTTGGGACGACAAATGTGACTCTTAGTAAGCGATTCAATTTATTACTGGAGTTACAAGGACCACTTCAAGGGTTATTACAGTATACCGCCTTCAATTCTGTTATCAATGCCTGAGCAGACAACGATTATTGAGTCTTTTGTCCTGATCTCTTTAACTTTCTCCTCAATGAGTAATGTGGCTGATGTAAAAAAGAAAGACACATGAGTGCACATTATTCAATGCCTAATATTTTAGCGATGACCACGTAGCAGCTTCAGTTTACCCAAGTTCTGAGTAAAGCAACTGTGGGATTATTTTTTTCAAAAGATTCCCCAAGGCGTAATGCGAAAGTGTATTGTGACAGCTGTCGTTGTCAAAATGCTATGTATCTCAGCTCGACAGAGGGTGAGCTTTGCGAGATGAAAGAACGGGATCTGGCGTTCGAAACGTGTCGCGGATTAGGCAAGGAACGACTCAACGAAAGCGAGTTGTTTCCACAACGTTAGCTGGTTTCGAAAGAGAACGATGCAGTTGCATTCAAAACAGTGCTACACTTGTCATTTTGTTTTTAACGAGTCTAGAAGTCGCTTCGTTCATGCTACAGATGAGTACAAAGATGACTAACTGTTCAGTTGTTCAGGTGCCAGAAATCGTAAGTGATAGAAAACAATATAGCTGTAGCTCGACAACGCCATGTTACAGGCTTGCTTGTTGCGAAATGTTTTATTACCTTGCAGTAACTTCCGTGCATTTCAGTGCCAGTGTAAAAGGCCTGTGTTCCACACGTTTCGCGGACAAAAATAAATGATGTGCTGTTATACCGAGCATATGGCTTGGAAGTTGCAGGCTCACTTCTCAGCAGAAATCATCGTTATTTTGATACGCCCACTGCTGGCCTAAGTCCTCTTCAATTGTTGTTCGACGTGGTCGAATGGTTGCTACGGCCGAGTTATGCGTAAAACATTCTTACTCTCATCTATCCACCCTACTTTCTGTCACCATTTAGAACGTTTGCCTTCTTTTAGAATGCAATATAATAACTGAAAAAAAATGATGCATGATATTAAAGCAATGCTTGCTTCAATCCCCTGTGTCACTCCCTCAACCAACGTTAATAAAAAATCAGCGTGAATTTGTCTGTTTTTTTTTGCGAGAAGAGCTTGTTAAAATCCATCAGTTCAGTGGTACTGAAGTTAAAGCAATGCGCCGAAATTGGTTCCTCGAACTGAAATTGCGGGCATGTGTTGTACGCACAGAGCAGCTGCTCGAATCTCCAGCACACTTTCACGGGAGGCGCATTTACGGTGTATGTGTAAGGATATTTTTGGTCTAGAAGAATATGTACTCTCTTAACAAACGTTTTGTACGTAGCACTTCATTTTCAATACGCTTTGACATAGTGAAACAGGTTCCGGGTAAATCACCATCTGTAGCCATAAAAATAGGCAGGAACGTTTTGGTTCCCGGTTATATCTAACACTTCACCTGCATGGTACCTGATTGATAGTGCTGTCGCATGGCCTAGTTTTACAGACGGTTATATTAGTAGTAGCTCTCCTACCCAGTTCAGACGCCATGCTCAGTTCAAACGACGTTGCACCGTATTCTCGAAGGAGGAGAGATAAAAGTGCTTAACAGAGGGCGCCGGCGGTCGTGAAAAACCCATTAGACCTGCGTCTTGGTCGCTTGTAGACACAAGAGAGTGCAATAGCGGTGAGTTAAATGCACTCCTGAACACTCTTCAAGATGCGCTGTGCGGGAGAGAGCCGTTGTTTTTTTTCTGTTTTTTCCTTTCGCAGGGAACTAATCACCATTTCCCGCATCAGAGAGTTCGCTCGCAGTGTGCTGGTAGTATCCTGTCGACCGTGGGATGGTGGTTTGGCGGCGAGCTTTTCTAACTCGATGACCCATGCACGAGATTAGGAAGAGCGTCATGCGAGTAACGTTGTTAAGGCTCAATGACAATTCTGAAGAGGTGATAAAGATAGTTGTCTTCACTACGTTAAAAATATATAAAGATCGCATTTATTTGTGTGCCAAGTTTTCTGCAAAACTTTTGTAAGAGGAGCTGGCGTCACTTTTAAAGGGATGTTATTTCGACGACCTTCATACAGAAGACGTTGGTTTGCTTTTATATCCCGCATTTCCTGAGCACTGCTTCCTACTTCAGTTAAAGGCAGACCGCTAAAGACGGTTCTTTTTAGAAATTAAATATCAGTTGTTAGCTGCCTCCCCTGTGTTGATATATCATCTTCTGCCTCCCAATTTTTCCCCCTTTTTCGTCGTTTTAACGTCTTCGAGGTTACAGGGCTGTTGCATATCAGCTGTTGCATATCATTACGCCATAAGCACTACTTTTGCGAAGACAAGTTTCACTTTCGTGTTATGCCGATTGCTATGACAGAGTCATAAGGCTTTTTCTTCTAAATAACGACAAAAAGTAATACTTCAGAGCATTGTGAGGCTTATTTCGTTCAGCTAGAACAACCTGACGCGACTATAACGAAGGTCGTCGAGAGTTTGATGGCGACTCTTCTAAATCTAATTCTTGCCAAGACGGTTTTTCTAAGTCGAAGTTTTCCTTCTTGAGCTCAGACACCATTCAGCACAAAGGAACGTAATGTGACAAGGCATCTAAGACAACCTGCAGTCTCGAGGGGACGTTCAACACCAAAGAAAACATATATTCTTCAAGACCCTGGAGAAGACATATATTTCTGTCTATCCTACAATGAGGGCTATTCCCGTTGTTTGGCCATTTAAGTCACCACTCAGTCACTACAGAGTGATGACGCCCATACGGAATGTTAAGAAGCAAGATATGCCACCATTTATGGTGATGAAGTCTCTGACAAAAGAAATACCCTCGTACAAAAGCCTAGGATGTTATTTCCATGCGTCACCTTGATTCTGCAGCCGTGACAGAGATAAGTCAGCTCGTCGAAACGTTGGTTCAAGATCATTCCCTGCTCAACTGTTTCACACCACTCCATGCCTGCGTCTACACCCGCACTCATCCGCATGCCTTCATTGACAACTGACCTTCTATAGACTTTCGGCTCAGGATTGATGTTTGCCAGCCTCAGCCAGTATTAACTAAATTGAGATTTTGCAAATTACTTACTGCGCGTCCCCTAGCAAGTTTGTTTTGCCCATGAAGAGTTTCATCCACTTATTAGACGGCAAGCCACGTTTTTGATTCAGCGCTCGACCCTGTCTATCCATCATTTCGTTTTCTCTTTTTTAGCTTACCCCATAGAGCGTATACTATGAAGCATGGCCTTAACACGGTCTTTTTTGAAAAGCCTCTATAGCACGCATTCATGATTCAGTGCAATTCCATTGGACTAAAAGCGCGTATTTTCGGACTTTCCTCAGTTAGTGCCTGTAAACATGTTCATTGTCATCAGCATTTGTGAGCCCAACGCGTGTGCGAGCTCTCCTCCTTTTTCCCATCTTTCGAACTCTCTAATCCCTATTCCCAGTGTAGGGTAGCACACCGGTCGCTCCATACTGGTTAACATACCTGTCTTTCACTTCCCTGCTGTTCCCCTCCTCTCGCGCTCGCGTAAATTCGATCAATTGTGGAGGAGATCATACTTAGAAGAATAAAATTGGTCTGCTAAAAATGGTTTTGTACGAGAAAAGTTCTTGCAGGAAAGCCAACTTGTGGATGTTTGCAGATTGTACGGTAAAAGAGCGCTTACTATATTCCGAAATTGGCTATCGGCGACAAACCAAACGTGAACAGTGCCAAGAATCAACAATGAATGAAATTGTGCATGTAATCCAGTCATCATCATTTCCATGCACAGTGTTGCCAAACTGGAATGCCACGGGCGTGCAAGTAACAATGACTTGACGGCACGCACCGTTCCATTTCTCTAATGCTTCCCACTGTTCGCGTTTCAATTGACGCCGATAGTACATGCTCTGGGTTAGCTAAGGAAGTTACAGAGCTTGTTTTATTTGAATGTAGAGTTATCCACCCGGGCGTACGTCTGCGCACTAGCTTAAATCAAACCTCGTTTTAGGGAAACGAGTTGAAAGGTAAACACATTTCCGATACAAATAAGTACCAGACGGTTGGAGAACTATTGGCGGAAAAGTAGGAATGAAAGACAAAAATACGGTGTAACAAATAACATCAATCTTTCGTAAAACGCAAAGAGTTGTGCAATTCTTTCGTGCTTTATTTACTTTAAAAAATCGTGTAGTTAAGGTACACAGGAGTTAGGCCAAGTTATAATAAAAAATGTACTATATTTCGTTTTTGAGCTGGGAGACTCGAAAGTAATTGCCCGATTATGAAGAGGACGCTCATAGCATCCATCCAGTTCCCCTTGAGGGGCCACAAATAGTTCAAACACCTACCACGACAATTTGTGTGCTCTTCATCCTCCCCGGCATCCCTCCCTCTCAGACGACGTCATGAGGCAGCATCTCGGTGCAGACGCGCGCCTTGCTCTCCTTGAAGCGTACTATCGTCTGCTGCACCTTGGCGGGACTCTGCGTCGGCTCCGGTGTCGCTGTAGCCTGCAGCCGGCGGCAGTTCGTGCTAACCAGCAGTAAGATGATGGCGGCGAACAGCACAAACACCACCTGAAAGAGTGGTTGCTCACATTAAAGGCACACCAAAGGAAAATACCATCTATGTCAGAGTAAAATGTCAGTGCTTCAAAACGTTTGTCTGCATGGAACATCAGCGCGACACACAGCAGTGCCTTAGCGAACAAGAACTTAAGGTAGTGTGGGACGTCCTGGTCTTCATGCTGATGATGATGGTGATGATGATGTGAGATCGTCATGTCAATAAAAGGACGAAATCCAGCATAAAAAACATAAGAACGGTTTATTTTACTACCAGAAGCACTGGGGAGCGTTCTAACGTTGCGCTGCTCTGGGTAGCTGATCAATTGGAATCTTGAAAACTTGGCAGCCTGGTTTTATAGGCACATCTGGTGACGTGTGTCTCTAGCGATGCTTCGATGGCACTGTAGCTTCGATGGCACTGTAGTTCAATGCAGCGCGCAGCCTCATGATGCCGAGCTAAATGATAGCGAAGTGGAGGATGCGCAGGATGCATGGTCGAGGTCCGCTCCGATAGGTGCCCCCACGACACCAGCTGCATTGTTTAAAGCTTCGTAGGTAAAAAAAAACGCTTTTTCTGACACCTGTGTTGCTCGAGCGAGTGCGATGCTCACCGCTATGCGCACATTGTCTTCGTAACTACACAATCCAAGTAACCACATAACTCACGTGAGACCAACTCTGCAACGTCAACGCACCATACTGTCGCAAGATATGTTCGAAGTACTCGTTTCAGCCATTTTCTACGCCCTCCACATTTTCTACGGCGTACGTGCGAAAAATAGGAAGCAAATCACTGGCAGGTTACTCCAGGATTATCGCTGACAGCTCAGCTCCACGCGAACGCGACGGAACAAGGGTAGAACAGGTGCTGAATGTTAGCCATAAATTTAGGGAATCATACTCATAATTTCCCCACAAATTACTTATTGCCTTATTGCCTCACTAATTGCTTATTGCCTCACAAATTCAACGCCCCAAAAATTTTAAGAATCCGTCCAGTGCGAGTGTAGATACGAATGTTTGTAGCATGCTGCAATTGCATTATCTCATCTCTCGTCTCGAACAAAGCGCTGGAAGCTAAGCAGGGAGAGGCGGCAGTGCAAAGAGACTACCGCGCCTCACGATCTTGAATCGCTTTTAGGGGTGAAGCTCCTTATAACGGCACCCGTTCGTCCCCCGTAGTATGTAACAAGTATAACATTTTGACCCCCAAAGGTGGTGCCGGTGAGAGACTTCTTCTGTGCGTTGTTGAACAATAAAAAATAGGGCTCAATGTACATGTCAATGGCTCCTAATGGGGAATAAGAGACAGGAGCATTCGGCTTTTAGTTAACGCGCAGGCTGCGATCACCATTAGCAGCCATTGGCATGCAGATTGAGCACTATCTGACAAGAAATGGTTGCTACGTTATACTCACTGGGAGTAACCTCCTTAGCTTTAGAGAGGTTTAGCGAGCGTTGAGCCGCAGTGCCATGAATACAATGAACTTGTATATATCATGAATGAACTCAAGGTGGTTAAAAATGGAAAGTAGATACGAAGCGCAAGCCGTAAGAAAGTAAAAGCCGAATTCTCCGCCTCTCATTTCCCATTAGCAGCCATTGGCATGTACATTGAGCACTATCTGACAGAAAAAGTTTGCTACGTCATACTCGCTGGGCTCAACCTCCTTGGTTTTCGAAAGGTTTCGTGAGCGTTCGGCCGCAGTGTCATGAATACAGTGAACTAGTATATACCATGGACTCGAGGTGGTTAAAGGTGGGAAGTGGACCCGAAGCTCAAGCCGTAAGAAAGTGTGCGTGTGCCACCTCTCGTTTAGTCCTTGGAATGTCCGCTGGATGGCGGTGCTTCTATAAGTGGAATATATGATGAAAAGATGCGAGATGGTGGTACTCGGAGTGTTTAATAGATGGACGAACGGACACATAGACAGATGCATGGATGGACGCATGAACGGGCGCAGGGGCGGCTGCATGGACGAACGCAGGGACAGACGCACGAACAGACGCACGCACGGACGGGCTGATGGACGCATGGACGGTCACACTGACGGACGCATGGACGGACGGAAGCAAGAACGAATGGACGGACGAATTCTTGATTGATATGTGGGGTTTAACGTCCCAAAACCACCATATGATTATGAGAGACGCCGTAGTGGAGGGCTCCGGAAATTTCGACCACCTGGGGTTCTTTAACGTGCACCCAAATCTGAGCACACGGGCCTACAACATTTCCGCCTCCATCGGAAATGCAGCCGCCGCAGCCGGGATTCGAACGCGCGACCTGCGGGTCAGCAGCCGAGTGCCTTAGCCACTAGACCACCGCGGCGGGGCGACGGACGAATTCTTCGCCCCACTCTCCATCATTCACTCCGTGGATATGCTGCCATTTTTTTTGTCTTAGAACGCGCGGCTTTCTCAGTGTGATCGCGCACGCACGCATGGACAAGTAGCGGTCTACCGCGACTATCTCGCTAACTTCACTTTTCGGTCACAGATGCACAGACGATTTTGCGCTCACAACCGACAGGGCTGACGCCAGCGGCGGGCTTTTCGCGACATTAACTCTCTAAAGCTATTGCGTTAAAATATACAAATACATATGCGGCCATCGCAGCTTCGAAGGCCGCATTTCTGTGCGCTCGACGCCGGCGGTTTTTTCGCATACTACACCAGCACAGATATCTGCAATCTGTAGAGCATTGCTTAAAAAAACTTTCTAGCGAAAACAGTAACCTTACGATTACTCATAATTTGGAAAACTCGCAAAGGTGATTCTTCACGGGTCCATTCATTCATTCATTCATTCATTCATCCTGTGACCTCCGCGATTTGCCCTGGCAAAGGAGCGACACCAAAAAATGTGACAATGCTACCAGAAGCCAATAGCCGGATTTTTAGTAGCATCGCCCCCCAGGTTTGCGCCTGATGCAAAACCGTGTTGAAAAAGTTTTTCGAACCCAACAGAACCCATCGGGACCAAACGAATGTTATGGAGCTTCTACTAGCGTTTCCTTTATGCCAACGTCAGCATCAGCACGGGGTTCACCCTATTTAGTCGGCATGTTTAGAGAAATAACTATTTGACAGGGCGCATAGGCCTCGGGGGAACCCCAGGTCTGATGTAGGCTGTAGACACCGCATAAGTAGGGTAAGACTCGCAAGCACCCATAGGTGACACTAATCACATTTTCCGGCCTCATACAAAGTGCAATGCAGCCGAGCATACAAAGTGCTCGTCCTGTGTTCTTTCTGAGTGTTTGCACTTTTTGGCACTTGTTTCATCATGAACTTATACCAACCTGCCCAACTGTCAGTCATATAAATCTGTTCAACTGCTCTACTGAGCGGCGCAACAAGACTAGTTCTGGTTAAGCTTGGACCGAACCTGCGTCATCATTCGCAGCACGATAGTCGAACCAGGTAGAGTTCCTTCCCCACTCACACGAGAGACCTTGGTCCAAATTGACCCTATAGCGCATCTCTTACACGGGCAGCGTAGGCGAGGCTAGACACCCCTGCTCTCTTATCTGGGTGCCACCGGACCATACAAGTAGACTCTTTGTTTCCTCCACCTACTTCACCGCAGACTTTTCAACTGCAGGTGGTACAGCGGAAACACTCTCTCTTAGTCGTGAGGGCGTCCGAAGCCACCCACACGTTTCCCATGACACACCGCATGGACGAGGAGGGAACCCTAAGATTTTAAGACCACAGCTCCAGCCAATCTAGATTACATGAGCATTACCTAAATTCAAGGAAGTTTACTAGTTTTCTTTAGTAAGCCGAAAATTCAAGGCAAATGCTGTAGGACATTATCCTATACTTAACTCTGTAGATTGATTCATCAGAAACAACTACCTATTAATGAATAATAACGTAACTTTTCGGCCAACACATCAAAGCCACTTAATGCTTATATGGGCACCACCAGAAAGTGGCATGTTTCTGAAATCTTTGGAGGGCAAACGCTTGATTCACGATTGCGGGCAAAGAATTGTGAGAGCTACCCCACTCCAGGTATTTTTTAAAGCCTCCTTGCGAAAATCCAAACAGTGAACACACAATGCCAATGAGGCACTTCCAGGGCTAATCGTGGAAGAGACGTTAGCTCATTTACTCGGGCATCATCATCGTTATAAGTGCTTCTTTTGGTGGCACATACCCCTTGATTGAAGAAAAAGTAGTAGCAGGCTACTAAACTGCATCATTGCAAGAATTTCCTTGGCTAGTGGTTTTTTGCCTAAAACATTCATTTGAAATTCATTGCCGATTTCCTCGTGAATTTTATTTAGTTAGTCTCATGTCACAGTATTTTGATAGGCTGTTGAAATGCACTGTATAACCAGTTCGAACACGGAGGCTGTTCAGGATGAATTAAGTTGGATGTGATGTTAACAAACTCGTACCGTGGACAACGAATTCGAGGTTAATCGTGGACTGTGACGACGGTTGGAGCAACGATTTGGCGATGGAAGAATTTTAGCGGGACGGCTTAGTGCTCTCCCATAGTTGAGTACGAAGTGCTCGAAATCGTTGAACATTTTAGGGGCGAAGCTCTTTATAGCAGCACCCGTTCGTTCCTCGTAGCCGTTGGAGTAGTGTGTAACAAGTATAACATTTTGACCTCCAAGGAGGTGTCGGTGAAAGATTTCTTCTGTGCGTTGTTAAACAATGAAAGATAGTGCTCAATGTACATGAAAATGGCTGCTAAGAGGGAATGAGAGACAGGAGAGTTTGGCTTTTAGTTAACGCGCACGCTGCGAATTTTTTATTGTTCAACGCGTAGAAGACAAGAAAGGGTTGCTACGTTGTACTCGCTGGGCATAACCTCCTAGGTTTTTGAAAGGTTTAGCGAGCGTTGGGCCGCAGTGCCATGAATACAGTGAACTAGTATATACCATGAACTCGAGGTGGTGAATGATGGGAAGTAGACACGAAGCGCAAGCCGTAAGAAAGTGTGCGTGTGCCTCTTCTCGTTCAGTCCTTAGAATGTCCACTGGATG